GCCGCACCACCAGCGACTGGGCAAGCTAGCTGTCTTGTATCAAAGATGTCTACAAGCTTCAACATGGCGTCGTTCCAGCGAACGCTAGCTACTGTCGCCGCTGCTGGGACTCGCACAACACCCTGCGTGCCTCTTAAGGAATGCACAGCTCTTTCGAGGAGGGCGCTGCATACCTCCGAAGCGAGTCGAGCTCAGCAAGCTTCCCCCAGCACATCCAGCCCTTCCGGTCAGCGATCGTCCTCTTTCGCCCAGCGCGACGCTCACGGTGGAGCTGCCCGAGCACGTTCAGCAGGCGGTCCAAGCTCAGGGGCATACTCTAGCAATCGAACCTTTCCCTCTTCCAACAGATCAGGACCAGGTCGCAGATTCGGACCTGGAGGAGCGAATGGAAGGTTCTCGGGTGGAGCAGGCGGAAGAGCGAGAGATTCCAGGAAACCTCGCGCTCCCAGAAGACTGCCGCCATACGAGGAGTGGCTAAAATCAGAAGATGCAAAGAAGTGGAGACAGCCACCCTCTGACACTCGCGGGCCCTTCTGGATCTCGGATACAGTGAGCAAGCGTCTCAACGAAGATGACCTCGTGTTATGAGGTAAACGCTCGGCAGATATGCTGACGCAAGCCATACCGCTTTTCTCACCTCGAAGCCCTTCCCACTCAACAAGACCTTTAACCCTTCTCCGCCAATCGCAAGTCACATCCGCGACGAGATGTGGGCACAACATCAGGCTTCGCCACGGGACACGGGATCAGCTCGAGAAATAAGCTCTCGCTTCGGCGTATCCATCGAGCGCGTCGAAGCCGTGCTCCGTCTCTGTGCGCTCGAAAGAGAATTCACTGCTCATGTGAGTGGAGCTCAAGTGCTGCCTCGAGACGTGGCGAAGTGTGGAACGAAGAAAGGGAAGGCAAGGCGTGGCACATTGATGAGACTTTTTACGATTAGTCTTGAAGACGCACATTTTACGTGGTTATAAATTAGCCTTTGAACACTCTGAGCGGAACGCGGGTTTCCAAGTAATAAATGCCGGGATCACGAAGGAGGAACTGCACAGCGGCTCTGAGCTGTTAGCAAATCACCGCGCAAAGGAGCCACGGAGGTGTCTTTCGCGCAGCAAGCACGTCGATGCTGACCGAGTCTTCTCCATTTGCTGCTTTTGGCATGCATCGCGCCACAGGGTCAACCTCTACAGACGCACTTCGCAGCCTCAATGGAACAAATCCTGGGGTCTGCTGCTAAACCTGCCAAGCTTCGCTTGCAGGAGCGCGCAGCTGCAGCAGAATCGGGAGAGGGGAGCGATGCGTCCCAATTGGAATTCCGCTCGCCTGTCCTCTCGCCCCTTTATAAGGCTCAGAGCAACAAGGGCGGTGCGGATGGCAGGAGGCTCGAGCCGAATCAAGCCATCGATGAGGATGTTCCTGTGGACTCGAATCCTAATTCGAATGCCGTGCTGGAGATTAGAGGACCTTATCGTGAGATGGTCGACGAGGGCACCGATGTGAGTTCACAACGCGACGCTGGTATATTTTGCACAGATTCCGAAGTTGACATACTTTCTATGTTGTGCGCTCTCCTTTCACGCTCCCAACAGCCCCCAGAGGTGCTCAGGCCTGCTTTGGAGGCTGCCACGCAGGAGCGACAAGCACAGATCAGCGCGCTGCCCTCATCCAAGCCCGAGTACATTCGCGATCGCGAGACTGGAGAACTACAGCAAGTCTCTTCCGTTCCGCTCTCGCTCGACGAGCAGCGAGCCTTCAAGGGTCGATCCTTGAAGGTGGTGAATGTGGGCAGCAAGTCTTATCGGGGTGCGGGCACTGTGGAAAGGAATAGGAGGAGGGCGGAGAGGCGAAGCAGATTGAGAGCTGTGCTTAGACTTAAGAGGGCTAGAAAGATGGACAAGGCGGAAATGAGGAGAGTCGAGAGGGCAATGTTTCTCGCTGAACGCAAATTTTCAGGTCAAAAGGACAGTGAACAAGCTGGAAGCCATGAAGAAGGTGATCGAGGAACGGTCGGCCAAGCCTGAGCTGGTGGTGTGGCTGCCTCACCTTACTCAATGTAAAGAGCAAAGCCGAACATTTGGCCGAAATGGATATCGCAGTGCTGCATCCTACGAGCTGATCTGACACACTTCACACGAATTTGGTGCGCCTACAATCAGAAGTCAATGAGGCATTGCAGGTACAGCGTAGCGGGTGTGCCTCATGTATTAGCATTGGCTTGTAGAGGAGGCGGGTAAGGCTATACATCGCGTCGGGGAAACACAAAATCGGAATACTCCCTCCTTGTTGCTTGTGACAAGGTGACGACTGCAGTATCCAGCGCCCCGACTCAGGAGTGCTTCACACTCTGTTGGTGGCCTTCGACCCTATATGATTTGAATGCTATGCGCATCGCCCGCTCTTCCCTTGTAATGATGACCTCTCACCTCATCCCGAAAAAGAGCTTGACCCGCTGCCCAAAGCTTGGGCTGACATCTTGACCTTGTGAAGCCTTTTGGATCGTCTGAAGCAGTTGATCGTAGTATTCAGGATGCGAAGCCGGTCTCAAGATGGAGCTCGGAGTGGGAAACTGTGGAAAGATATGGGGCGGGCGAGGAGGTTTGCAAGCCGTGCTGCATGAAACGTGGGACACACGAACCACGGACCGCGTGGTCAGGTGCGCGAACACAAAGCCCTTGCACGCACCTCGGAATTTGCAGATCCATCCTTCAACGCTTGCAAGACCGACAATGCTCTCTCCGCATTGCTCTCTTCGATCGTAGTGAGTTGCTTGAACTTGGCATCCTCCGATCCAGCGCCGACCTCTCCCTTCGCCGCAGCGTGTCCAACTCCATTGCGCGCATTGGACAGCTTGCCGTCCATGATGTCTTGTGTCTCCGAGGGCGGGCTAGCCAAGAATGCTCGGTCTGCTGCGGCTCGGATGGATAGACCAAATTGGGCCGTGGGTCGTAAAGGGTCTCGAGGCCATGCCGAGGCGAGAGAAATGAAGCGCCCGTGAAGAGCTCTGGCGCTGGCGGACATCTTGGCGGAGCGATGTGGATGCTGCTTATTTTTTGGTCTACGAGGTCCAATGCGCGTATCGCCTTGGAACGTTCGTATGCAGGGGTATCGTGACTTTGCTAGTGTTGACAACCTGACTCATGACTGAAGAAGGGGTCGAAGTGATTGTGATTGGCCTTGTGATTGGCGTTCAAAGGTGGAGGACTTCGCACGGGGCGAAGAGCAAACCTTTTGTCAGCACACAAAGAACACGTGACGTAGAGATGATGATCACGTGACGTGACCTTGGCCGTCCAGATCAGACCAAGTCTGACCTGTGCTGGTGAGACCTGGCACGCAGTGGACTGACCGTCTGCAGAAATTTGATGAACCACATCCACCTCGGCATTGGTACGTCAGCTCTGATGCCAGAAGTCGCGCACGCTTTGGGCCTTTTTGGATCAGAGTTGAAAGCGAAGGCATATGTCAAAGCCAGGAAAAGCATGGAACAAGATTCGCAGCTCAGACGTCGTGAAACGATGGTCCAGATCAGTCGCAAGCTCCAAGACAAAAGGGGCCTCAGGCAGACCCGAGATCAGCATTTTGAATCGATTTCGTGCACACTGGGCGACAGAGTCGCGCAGTGTCTGCGAGCGTCGTGCTAGGGTGCAAGCTTCAGGAGGCTGAAAACAGGGCGACCCAGCAAAGTGTCGATGCCTTTCTGGGTCTTTGCTTCGAGGGAAGCATACTGTGCACAAGAGTAGACGTATCGAGAAAAATGCTCGAGATAGCTTAGCAAGTGAATTTGGCGATCAGACCAGAATTGGGGTCGTTGACTTGACGCTGGCTGATGGCCT